CGACTGAAGAAACAGCCGAACACTCTGATGAAACGTCTGCCGCATTTTCCCTAAGAACTGGTATAGAGGGATCTCTTTCTAGCCTAACATCACGGCACATTGTAGAATCCACTGTAACGGACAATCTTTGGCGTTTTATGTTATCTCTTTCTTCCTTCCAATCCCTTTTGGACCCTTTATCATGTTCCATTTCGTGTGGTTACTTGATCTAAAATATTCAATAAACAACATTAAAATTAATTAAGACCCATCACAACCATTCTTGATTGATATGATCTGAAATGACAATATTAAAAAGAAAATAACTATATACAAGTCCTATCAGACTTATCACACCCTGGACACAAATAAATATCTGTCAATGCTGCTTTTGTCTGATCGATATTTACACAGGCACCATGAAAACAATTTTTACATTCGTCACATTGAATCATGAATGTGCCATCATTGGGCCTTTGACATACACAATACTGACTTGAATTGGATGTAGATGCCAAACTACCCAAAGTATGCTCATTAGACAGTAAACTTTTCTGCATGCTTATAACCCAGGTAAGTAATTCACGATCATTGCACAACTTTAACCTATCGTGGTTAATGGTAACAAGCTTCTGCCTAAGTTTAATTTCATAAACATAGTCAGACAACTTTCGAGTGATGACACCAGGTCCTTTCCATATGTAGGACTTAGCTTACGACATCTACCCTTTATCGCTGCTGTGTCAAAAACGTACACTGCATCGCCTACCTTGTACGAACGTGTAAATGTTTTCAGGTCGTAGTCTCTTTTCATCAATGCCTGAGTAGATTTTGAATTCAATCTCGCAATTTCATGAACTGACTGTATCTTTTCAATAAAATCTACGAGATATTGTTCTGAATCCTTGTCATCTTCTGATGCCGGAACTGGAAACATCAAATCTACAGGCATACTCACTTCTCTCCCCAACATAAGCATATTAGCTGTAAAACCTGTACTCCTGTTTTTAGCCGATCTTAATGCACTTGCTAAATATGGCACATATTCATCCCATAGAGTTGGGGGGCGGCTAACAAAACAGCGCAATGCATCCATTAGGGTACGGTTGTATCTCTCTACCTGCCCATTTGCTGATGGTCTATAAGGTGTTGTTCTTGTTTTATGGATCTGTAACTGTTCACATAAATGTTTGAAAAGAGCACTCTCAAAATTGGTTCCTCTGTCTGTAAGAATTTGGAAAGGAAAGCCAAACCTTAAGAAGAATTCATTCACAGCATGAGCAGTGGTTTCACTGATTGGTTTGGAAGAGGCACACACTCTACCCACTTGGTAAATTGATCTACCATCATCAAAATATATGCATTTTTCTTTTTTGTCCGAGGTAGTGGGCCTAAAAAATCTAAATGCACTCTTTCCATGGGAGATCCTGCATGGAACCTCTTCATTCCGCATCTGGCCTTTCGGTTTGCTTTCTTATTGCGGTTACATACTGAGCAAGATGAGACAAATTTTCTTATGTCTTGAGTAATTGCATACCATGTAAATTTCTGCTGGACTCGAGCTAATGTCCGATCATATCCCTGATGTCCTGATGTGGGGATATTATGGCATAAACTCATAATTTGGTCTCTCATTTCTTTTGGCACTAAGAGTAGTTTGCTGGATCCTGCTTTTTTCCATATAACCATCTGTTCATCCATCTCATAAAGTTCTTTGTTGATCCAGTAGTGTTTAGCATCTGAACTACTAAGATAAAGATCATTTTCTTGCGGTGTCTCTTGTTTTAACAGCCAATTGATAAGGAAATTGAAATCAACATCTGCATGCTGTTTTTCACTAATTTCTTTCCAGGAATAACTTTCTATCCATGAGTTTTTTGATGATTTTCTAGTCTGTACCATCTGAACAGCATGTTCATCCATGGTTGAAACATGATTTCTTGGTGGGGAAGTTTCAGGTACCAATAAATTACACTGCACTTCCTGATCTCTAGGTATTTGGTTGTGTTTTATCAATGGGATGGCATCATCCACATTTCTGATAAAGTCACTCCAGTTTTGATGCACTCTTCTACAATAATTGCATCCACCACATGGTAACTGTTATAGTTGGACATCTTCTTGATAATGTGGACATACCTCTGTATCAGGAATCCGTGAAAGAGCGTCTGCATTTTGATGTTTGTGTCCTGGTCGATGATAGATGTTCATGCGGAACTGACTCAGTTCCTCTAACTATCTATCTAGTTGTCCATTTAGGTTTCTAAAATTCATGAGCCACTGGAGACTACTGTGATCTGTCCTAATGTCAAAAGGTCTACCCAGCAAATAATGACGAAAATGACGTGTAAACCTGACTACGGCTAATAATTCCTTCCTGGTTGTACAGTATTTCTTTTGCTCAGGAGTAAGTGTAAAACTACAATATGCAATACAACGTTCAACATCGTTTTGCTTTTGAGACAGTTCAGCACCGATAGCAATGTCAGAAGCATCAGTATCGAGAATGAACTTTCCGTCTTTTGTAGGAATGGTAAGAACGGGGGCATTCATTAATGCATTTTTCACAGATTCAAAGGAACGTTCATGCTTTTCGTCCCAATGAAAAGGAGTTTTACCTGTCAGTTCATATAAAGGAGCTGTAATCTTTGCAAAATCTTGTATGAAGCTTCTATGATAATTTGCAAATCCACAAAATCTTTCCACTTCTTTGGTACAAGTAGGAGCTTTCCATCTGGTCATGGTATCTATGAAACTTTGGCTAATTTTTATACCATCCCTTCCTACTGTTCTTCCTAAATACTCTACTTCAGGTCGAAAAAGTTCACATTTTTTTTCCCTTTGAGTTTAATTCCATAATCTCTGAAGCGCTGAAATACTTTGGCCAGATTACAGATATGGCTTTCAAAGTCTTTACCTAGAACGAGGACATCATCTAGAAAAGCTAAAACAACTGACCAATGAAGTCCTTTCAAAACTAGGTTTATAAATCTTGAGAATGTTGCAGGGGCATTACAAAGGCCAAAACCCATTCTTTTGAACTGAAACAGTCCATACTTTGTAATGAATGCAGTTTTGCATTTATCTGAATCTTTTATTTTGACCTGCCAATATCCCCAAGTTGCATCAAGCTTTGAGAACCAAACATTACCTGACAATGAATCAATACACTCTTCCACCAAAGGTAAGGGAAATACATCTTTTTTGGTGATTTTGTTCAAAGCCCTATAGTCTACACACCACCGTACACTTCCGTCCCTCTTGCGAATGAGTACAGGGGGTGAAGCCCATTCTGAGACTGATGGTTCTATCACATCTGCCTTGATCATCTTGTCCAGGTGTTTTTCTTCTTCTCCTACAAAACAGACTGGTGTTCGCCTTAAGCGTTGTTTAATAGGTTGAGAATCACCTGTATCGATACAATGTTCAATAGCAGTAAAGTTTCCAATATCATACTCATGTGTTGAAAATACATCTGCATAATTGATCAACATGTTTTTAAGTGTCACTTGCTCTGCAGATGTTAATTGTTGACTTGATCTTTGATACAGATCTTGTAGATGTGATAGAATATCCTTAGTATTTACAAACTGACAAACCTTAGTCTTGTTACTGTCTGGAACAACTTGCTGAATCTCGGTTGCTGTACCTACTACTTGGTTGCGTCGTAGAACTACATGATAATCATGGCAATTAACAAATGACATGACAAGATTGGTACGACCATCTACTAATACACGAGGTGAAAGTAAATTATCAACCTGCGGTTCAACTACACATTGTTGCACAGGACAATTGTAATACAGAGCATGCCGGAACTACTACTCGTTTGTTAATAGTAACTCTAGCAACCCGGACTGTATCATTCTGTTTCTCATCCGTCTGAAATTCAACTTCAGTACCATACATGTTTATGGTTTTCTTTTCCAAATTGATGTCCACACTATGCTTGATTAAAAAGTCTAAGCCAAGCAGCATGTCATCCTTGATAGGGGCAACAGTCACTGCTTCTTTAAACTTCAAATCTTTCATCTGTAATTCAACTGATTCTAACTGATGACCATTCATTTTTAAATCTCTACCTGCAGTAAATAATGTAAGACTTTTGACAGTACATGGTTTGTTTTGAAATGAATTGAAAAGTTGATCAGAAATTAAAGTGATTTCTGATGCAGTGTCTATAACAGCTTTGACTTTTTTACCATGTACTATCAAGGGAACATGGATATTGGAGCATGATTTCAACTGTCGTATGATTACTGCTGGTTGTTCTGTTTCCTTGAGGCCTTCTGAATCAGGGACCGAGGTTAGGCCTGTTGACCCGATCCTTGGTTGTTTAAAGAATCTGCAAATGCCACTTCTTTCTTTGCTGCTTTGTTCTCTTTATTTAATTTTGGACAATCTATTCGGAAATGACCTTCACCTCCACAATGGAAACAAGCCCCTCCTCGTGATGGTGAAGGAGAGCGACTTCTAAATCTTCGATTAGGACTTGTCTCTCTGCTTCGGTTGTTTGGAAAACGTTTATTTGCCGTCCTGATTTCAAACATCAAACTTTCCATCTGTTTCTCCAAGTTACACAAACGTTGATCTAATTTAACTTCTTGACCATTGTTTGAGGGCTTTTGATGTGTGCGACAGATTCGAACTGACTGTCCAGAGTCAGAAAGAAACTCATCTGCTTCACAACAAACTTCCCTGACATCTCTTCTGTTTTTGTCATAGATTGCTTTATAGTTATGCTGAAACCCTTTGATCTTGTCAATTACATCCTCTATTGTTGTCAAATGGAGGTTGGCTGCATACTGTCCTGCTTCACGGTCGGAACATCCTAGACGAATACGTTTGATAGCTTGAGAATACATAAAATCATCAGGAAGATTTTGGAAAGCTTTGGTTGCTAGTTGTAACACTCGGTCAGCCCAGTCTTCAATACTTTCATCAGACTGTTGTTTCATTGTAGCTAATTTCACTTGAGCTGTTTCTGGAATTTCCTTCACACCAAATCGTTTATCCATTTTCTAAAGAAGATCATCAAATTCAATGTCATCATCTCTCTGTAAAATATTTGAGAAAAATTCGCTCGCTTTTCCTTCTAGACTCCAGCATAAATAGTCTTTAGATTCTTCTGCAGTCCAATTCTTGACTTGCGCATAACGCATGAACTTCTGTTTGAATGCATTCCAGTTTTCAGTTCCTTCGTATCGTAAAGTCTTCGGCAATACATCAACTCTTTCAGGTCGTCTATTGCGATTTGCATTGTTGTTTGGTGTTTGATATCCATTTTGATTTCCCTGGTTACCATTCGGATTTGCTTGGTTACCATTTTGATTTGCTTGGTTACCATTCTGATTTCCTTGGTTACCATTCTGATTACCTTGGTTACCATGCTGATTACCTTGATTACCAATTTGATAGCCTTGGTTACCATTTGGATTTCCTTGGTTACCATTCTGATTGCCTGTGTTACCAGTTGGATTGCCTTGGTTAAGTTGGTTACCATGGTAATATCCATAATTGGTGTTCTGATTCCCAGGTAATCCCTGATTCCCTGGAGGTACATTATATCCAGGATTGAGGTAATGGTTTTGATTTACTGGCTGAAATCCTTGACCTTGGTAGCCATATTGCATTAGATTAACCTGTTGCATTGGAGTTGGTCCCCAATTTCCTGGAAAATTCCATGCATTTGAGGTATTAACAGGTACTCCAGCTGAATAAGGTGTTTGAGCTATGAAATTGGGGGGTGGTACTACAGGAGGAAAATTATTTGGTCCATAGTACTGCCCTCCAGCACAAACTGATTTCCATAAGGAAACATGTTTGTCCCGACTGACATTGGTACCTGTGATGTTGGATTTCCAAAATTCCAATAATTCATACCTGAAACAGGAAGTTGAGCTGACATGGGTGTTCCTAGAACTGTTGGTTGAGTGTTGACTGGCGTGTTTGCGCTGATAGGTACTCCTTGATGCATTGAAGGTACTTGCAAAGGGCTGCTGTATGAAGTAATACTTGGCGGAAAGCTAGGTGGCATCTTGGATGTACACTGTGGAATTGAAAAGGGTGGTAACATTGAGCCCATCATTCCATTTCCTGAAAAAGTCACTTGAGTTGGAAACATTTGAGTAGATGGAGCTATCGAATGTTCAATTTTTTGTACTGTAGGTTGTAATTCAGGTTTGACTTGTGATGAATCTAGTGGTCCACCATACATGCTTGTAAACATTGGAAAACCAGTATTGATCTGTTTTGGTTTGGTGTCAAGCAATTGAAAACTAGTATTGACTTGCTTTGGGGTAGTGTCTAGTGTTGGTGTTATATTTGGATATTTGAATTTTGCACCACCAAAACTAACTACTTCCATCTATCCCTTTCTTACCGTTTGGAATTGGTTCACTACCTTTTGCATTTGTTTCATCTGAGTTCATCTGATATGGTGATTGTGGTTGGTTCATCTCACCTTTATGAGCTTCTGACAGTACTTCCTCTGCTTGAACAGGAGATGTACTTGTCTGGGGCTGAAATGGTTGGAATGATTGGAATGTATATTCGCCAGGTGGAATATTTTCACTGTCTGTTTGATTTTCTGTACTTTCCTGAGTCTGTTCACTGATTTCTACATCAAAACTCTGCTCACCGTCTTCTCCGGCACTGAATAATTCTGGATTCGCTGAAAAATCTGTTTGTTCCATTAGCTCACTTGTTACTTTAAGATGTTTGATTTGACTGACATTGTGAACTGTAACATTTCCTACAGTAGCTCTGTGTTGCAAAATATTTTTAGCAACTGCATTTCCTACACCTACTATTTTCTGCAATTCTTTTTCATTGGCAAAATTTATTTTGATTTTTTCTGTGCCTGTAGCCATAATTGCTTATACTGTAGATATATTGTTAATCGCTTGGGTATTTGAATATGAAAATACTAACCTATGCACATACAACCTGTCTGCACATGCAACCTAGCTAGTACGGACAATTTTCATCAGATAAATTTAACAATGAATGTCAAAATTACCTTGCATGTAAAGAATAAAGTATACAAGTTAATATGTGTTGCAGAAAAAAAAATTACTGCCTCACAACAATATCGTAAATTCAACGTTGCCGTCGAGTTCACGAATAAAATGCAAACATAAACAATTGCTACCAAAAAATAACGCACCGGTTCATGAATAGAGCCGCAGCACCAAATTTTAGTAGCTTTATTGTACTATAATGAACATATAACATGAAATAAACAAATTACCAATATTACGGCAAAGAAAACACAATGGCAAAGTGGAAAAACAACGTGTAAATCTGTCACTGTCAATGGCACGAGAATCGATAACAATTTTTAGAATTCCGAACTCGAGGTACATATCAGACTTAACGTAACTACTACAATAATTATTAACTTTTGGTGGTGTTGAATTTTCTCTTTATAAATAATAGCATCTATTTGAAATATGAAATAGATGCATTTATTTTATGAGAAAAGAAATCGGGTTCGATGTATGATATGCAGACTCCAAAATTAAGATCGGGTTTCGGCTTCCTTTTATGTCGGCTTGCTGAACAGGAAAGAGGTCAGAGATTAACTTTTCGTGCCAGCAAGCACCTACTGCGACAAGGCACCTCGGTTTATACGGCCTCGTACAAATAACCGGCGGAATTCTAGGAGAATCCGTCCAGAACGTCGTGGCATAGGTGTATGCGCACAGACTTTAAGTTTTCAAACTATTCGTGACTTTCGCCCTCATTAATTACACGCATGCTTTTTCGCATATATCGAAGCGGTTTGATAATCAAGACTCATTTCCATTGTTTACTTCATATATTTCGCGGGCGACAATTGATGGTTACATCAATATTTTCTTCTTCTTTGTTGATCTAAGCCCTACAAAATACACATGAAGTAAAAATTTGACAGTCATGTAACATATTATTTTAATCTGTAAATCAAAATAGTTTTCTTGACCATTTATAGGACCAGTATAATTAAAGGTTTTAAAAACCTTGATACCAAGAGCCTGATCTTTCCAATTTTTGTTTAGAATTGAGGAAGATTAAGCATTAAGCAAAAGAAACACAGTTGGACTATTTATTTAAAAGGGTATGTAATTAGAATACCTTGCGCTGTAACATTTGTCAAGGATTGCCCCTCAATTTGAATTATTCAGCAATTTACTTGAAAATTTTGAGACAAATCTGTAATCTTGGGGTCTGAGATTTTGATATGTAAAAAATATTGTCCTACACTTTTAATAGCTTTCATGTTCGAATTTAAAGGAAAAAAATGTTTAAAAATCTGTTGTTTAATATTGGGGGCTTTAATTATTTTGACCCCCTACAGACCTTTCAAAATCCCGTCATTTATCTTTATTTGGAGATACAAGGGAATTATCTATTTATAATTTATGACATAAAAATTGATAATTGAATCTAACGTAAATTCGGTATTTTTCATGTTTTAGGAATTGATTGATATATCAAGAAAAAGCAGACATTCCCACAAGGTTGCCTTTTGTCTGGACGGAGAATCCGAAATTAACCAATAAATTATTAAACTTCGACTCATTTTACATCAGATTAGCCTGGGCTGTACATGTATATTGTGATAAAAATATGTTATGGATTTGAAATGCTGTAAATAATCATGAATTTTCTACAAAGATAAATGGAAGGATTCCTTTTAAGAAACCCATGGATGTTACTCTTCATTTTGATTGATCATACATGTAGAGGACTTTAAAGTCTAATATGGCTTTGAAAATTAGGTACAATATTTTAAGTGTGTGATTTGTAATTCAGCATATGGCAGATTTTAGTTGTTTTTGCATATGTCATTAAAATAAAACAATAATATACAATATAACTGTTATATGGGTCAAAAAATATTATATACATATAAGCAAGTGCTTGTAGGATTGTCCTTGCATCCTCGTAGCATATATACATTTAGCAAACGTATTTGAAAATGTTTAGCATGTGCAATCGGGAGATGAAAAAAATCTCATTATTAGTGTCTGAAAACAGTATTCAGAAATTAAGAAAGTGATATTTATGACTACGGGTAAGTTCCTGGGCTATCCTTCAAATAAAGTAAATGGAAATAGTATTCAAGATCACAAATACATTTAACAGTACAGAATAGGAGCAAATATAGACCTCTAAAACATCTTAGGTGGAATCAGATGTCATGGATAAGTGAGCATCCCTTCCGACCGGTAGCACTCGCAGTTTTGGGAATATTAAGTCATAGACTAATGACTAAAGAAACACTGTGGGAATGACTTCGGACCGCAAGCTTCTTATTTTAGACAAAGTGTCAATTTTTTAAAGTCTTGAAATTCTTTAATTAAGTCTTGAACTTGATAATTGCAGTTCATTTATATTTGCATTCATTTGCGGGAAACTGTCTACAACTTTTATCGAGATTCATGTTTTGTCTTCTTTCATAAAAAAAACTATTTCATCAATTAAGAAAAACACCTACTTTTTTTTCAAGAATTAAGAATATTAAAGGGACTAGTATCTTCTTCATTTTGGAATTTTTTTTTTAAGTTTTGTGTGATTCATTGGTGTGTAAATCACACAGACTTGTCACGTAGGCATATTCCATGAAGCGCACAAGCACCAATGAATAACAGAAAACTTAAAAACATTCCTTAAATTTACATTTTACATATTTGAAACCTTAAAATATATACCCAATGTTTGAATTACTTGCCGCCCTATATCGTTTCATGTTTTCTAAAGTCGCTGTAGCTCATTGTGACCTCACGTTAGCGCACGTTTCTCCGTGTATATTCCTACGCGTGAGTTACACAAAATGGTTTTCAAATCAATTTCTCAGTTTCCTTAGTAGAAAATCACATCGAATGTAAGTATATATATTAAATAAATGAACGTTGTCATTAAAAAAAATTGAATAAATTGATGCCAGCAGGCCAGATAATAGCATCACTCTAGAAAAAATATTTGTGTGATAATATATATTGTTTTATTAATCGTTTTAAGTTATAAAATGTTTGATTTTAAGAAAAAAAGAACCTTATCTAGTGAAAAGAGAACAGTAAACACAAAGTTACATTATGAAACATGACTAAAACAATTATCATTTTTCTTGCATCTTCCACATTTGCGCAGATCCAAATAAGGAGGAAAAAAAATCAACTTTTAATACCCAAGCACAGGCCTTGAATTACCATCCGATTTCAGAATTTTTTACATTGGAAAAATCTAATGAGAGAATCTAGAAACAGTATGAAGGGGTTCTTGTCTGATTTCTGACTAGATGAAATATTTAAAGTACCTTTGCTTATATTTCTTATAAATTTATATATAATATCACATTTTTCTTTCTTTACCGCAAATGTTCACTTTAAAAGATATAGAAGTGAAAGACTGGCTTCGAAATTTTACAGAGATTACTTCGAGTGGAAAGGCCTTTGACAATAAATATTTTTTTTCTTTACTATAGAACAAACAATTAATGTACCTACAATTTTGACACAATCAAAGTCATGAAGGATTTTCAAATGTAGTAAAATTAATAAAAAAGGACTGAAATATATCGAGTATATATGATTTTCCCAACAAACTAGAATTATGTTTGCTTTTAAAAGATTCGAGTCCGAGTACAAATTGAGGCAACAAATCCGTACATATTTTTTTACTTAGTTAAATCGACACCATGATGCTCAAACGTGAAAATTGAGGTAGACTTTTTGGATGACCCGTGGAAATTTGGTTCAATTTCTGAAAATATCATGTTTCAGAAAACTACAGGTTTCAGAACCTTATAAAAGCTAGTGTTTTTCGTAGGGGAAACTACAAATAAAAAGAATTTTAATTTTCCTCAACACGAAAATACTGCTTCACTCTTCTTACCTATTGTGCGTGTGCACAGAAAAGTTGAAGCTACCATATGCAATGTCTAGACTATTAAAGAATGAAATTCGATAGACAACAGCAAAATGATAGATACAAAGTTTGTTTTTCCGGCACTCTGCATTGTGCAGTTTTGTTTGATTTACAGTCTAGTTTAGTTGTCATATCTTCGATATAGTCAGTGTTTTCATTATCTTGTACCATCATATTAGGAAAAGTAAGCAATAGGAAGTATACAAAAATAACTTTAATATCTTAAAAATTTAGGTCAGCCAACAATAACTTATTTTTTGGTATATTATTTACGTGAATTTCGTACTATAATCTGATATACCC